CATCGAATAAGGATTTCAGTGCTGGTTAAAACACAAAAACAAACTTTAACATGAAGCTCTGATTAAGGAAGCCACGTTCACAATGCAATAGGCCATTTGCATGATGGCGTCATATTACTACTATGACCAGGATCCTTCAGGGTTTTGCTTTCTTGTGCAAATTAGGGCTTTTGTTATTTAAACCACACTGGGGCTACCAAATTTATATATGAAAGGAAAAAGGAAAAGAATTCTGGGCGTAGTAGTAAAATGACGCCATCGTGCGAATGGCCTATTAAAATCAACAACATTGGAGACTTAAATAGTTATATTTTGACCTTTTTCCAGGAGCACACATCATGAACAGCGGTTGTGACAAATGCGGTGCATGCCTAGACGCATCAAACGATAACATGCCAGGCGTGTATCTTGACGGTAAAAAGTTTCATCATAAGCCAGCTTCAGCGATATCAATAGCCTCTTGGATCAGCTTAAATCAAACAAAAGGACGACATTCCATCTTTCAAGCGGTCAGTAACAAAAATGATGAGTGGCACGACATTTACAACTTGGACGTAATCAATGGAAAGTTGTTTTGGCGACACAAGAATGAGAAAAGTGACGTCACCTTTAACGTCAGGACCGACGATGTCGTCATACCTGAAGGCCTTTGGAGTCACGTGACTGCTACGTACAGCTCCGAAACCGGAGATGCTAAGATATATGTGAATGGTCTTTTGAAAGCAACGGTTAACAATGGGAAGAAACCAAAGCTTAATATAGCCTGGGGTCGAGTGTCGATAGGAGGGCATTTACCAGACGCAAAAAATTTTGCTGGACTTTTAGACGAGTTTTTCATATACAATTGGGCGCTGGATCCCTCGGAAGTGCGGTTTGTGTTGAAATACTGTGCTGACAAACCAAAATTGGTTTCGTTTACGGTGCGGGTACCATTGTTTAAAAGGCAGAAAGTGCAGAAAACTCCTCAAGCCCTAAAATATTTATAAACGTAACGATGGCAACAACGGCAAATTAAGTGAAGTCTATTGACCTACTGTTCTTTCTCCTAGGGGGAGGGTACTTGGGTCAATTTTTGCTGGGTATGTGCCGCTGGCATCTCAGGATCCCAAGTCTTTTTTTGTGGCCAATTATAGACCCTATCTTGGTCACTTTTGGGCAAATGTAATTTTCGCGATCCCAACTTGGCCAGTTTTTGTTTACGCTTATAATCTTCCCAATTTTTAAATCCCTACTTACTAGAACTTTCTTACCCACAAATCCCGAAAATGTGCCACCCTATTCTAATTGCTCTATTGAAAATGCAACCCCATTATAGTCAATCCAGTCGCGAAAATGTAACCCCATCCAGCGGCACATCCTCACTAGCCTTTCAATAGGAAATACCCCTCGGGTACTCTCTACGTAGAGAAGGGTCATTAGCAGAACTCGTAACAACCCAGGGGGATTCCACATCAGATTCATCAATTGTTTTTGGATGAAAAATTCAGTTTATAGAGTGACGATTAACTCTGACGAGCTGTAAGAACGTAATATCTTTGATCCGTATTGCAACGTAAACAGCTCAAGGTGACAGCTGAATAGCTGTTAATAATAAAAATATTTCAGTAAAGAATTACAAAGTTGTAAAAAATGCAATAAAGATGATGTTATAAATGTTTTTATCGAAACCTGAGTTAAAATTCGTTGTTTCTGCATGAAAATNTCTCAGGATCCCAAGTCTTTTTTTGTGGCCAATTATAGACCCTATCTTGGTCACTTTTGGGCAAATGTAATTTTCGCGATCCCAACTTAGCCAGTTTTTGTTTACGCTTATAATCTTCCCAATTTTTAAATCCCTACTTACTAGAACTTTCTTACCCACAAATCCCGAAAATGTGCCACCCTATTCTAATTGCTCTATTGAAAATGCAACCCCATTATAGTCAATCCAGTCGCGAAAATGTAACCCCATCCAGCGGCACATCCTCACTAGCCTTTCAATAGGAAATACCCCTCGGGTACTCTCTACGTGGAGAGGGGTCATTAGCAGAACTCGTAACAACCCAGGGGGATTCCACATCAGATTCATCAATTGTTTTTGGATGAAAAATTCAGTTTATAGAGTGACGATTAACTCTGACGAGCTGTAAGAATGTAATATCTTTGACAGCTGAATAGCTGTTAATAATAAAAATATTTCAGTAAAGAATTACAAAGTGGTAAGAAATGCAATAAAGATGATGTTATAAATGTTTTTATCGAAACCTGAGTTAAAATTCGTTGTTTCTGCATGAAAATTAGTAACTCAGTGAAATTGCAATTCACGTCTCCAAGTTTTAATTTTGCATTGTTAATAACAATAACCCAAGCATATACTTTGCATCTAGAATTGAGATGTATCTCGAAGGTCATTGCTGCACGCCTAAATTCTCGTTATAGATTTTTTTATCGAGCAAAACATAAAAAGTATTTGGGTCAAGACCAGAATTATAAACGGATAAGAGAATAACAGTTCTGTGATCAAATTTGACTTCGTCAGTGGGTTTTTAGAACCATCACGACTTCTCTGACGTTACTACTAATAATAATAATCATCATCATCATCATCGTCGTCATCAAATATTTATCCAGGATAACCCTTCAGTAGAAATTGTTATCAACGGGTCCTGCTGACTAAGAATTAAAAAAATACATATTACAAAAGCAAACACACACTAAGTTAAAAACCGTTAAAAACAATAACAATAACTTTTTCTTAAAATTTCACTCAAAGTATTCTCCCGCCATCAATCTCAAGCCCTCGACATCCTTTTTCTAAAGTTAGTAAAATTAAGGAATCTGAAGCGAGAGATACTTGAATAAGGTAAGCAAATAACTTCTGAGCTAAGATTTTAACTTTTACCAAAAAAACTCTCAGACTGGCTGTTTAAAACTGAGATAGAAAATTGATTTCGCCATGTGGCCAACACAACTGGAGCCTTTTTAACATTAGCTAACGGTTTTAGAAAGAGGCTGAAAAAAAATAGTTACATTTCCTTGCTTTTTTATGCAACCTTCGACGTTTTCTACTTGATGGTAAATTGAATCGCAATAAACAACAACAACCACAACAACAACAGTAAAACTAAATAATAATAATAATAAAAAAAAACAAAGAGGTTTGGTTGTGGTTGGTCCCTGGTATTGCCTGATTGCCCTCACCACAAATCTTTCTCGCCATACATCATCGGAGACCCAAGTAAGGGACTGTGACCTGAGGGCTCTCTTCTCTTTGTGTCGTAGGAAGGCTGGGAAGAGGGAAAAAAGAAAGCGCGCTGGGAGCGATGGGAAGGGGAAAGAGAGGACTGAAGGGAGGCCCACGCCTTTCTCTCCTCCCATCGTCCATTGCCCGCTTACTACTTCTTAATCATTGCGGGAGCCTCTGCGGAGGAGAGAGACCTGAGCGCGAAAGTATAAATAATGATAATAGGACTGGGTAGATTGCAATTCGGCCTGCAATCATACGAGAGACAAATCACGAGTATGATTACAGACAGAATTGGACGAAACAAAATTTGTGGTGTTTAAGCCCTCTTGAAAATAAAAAAACACGAGAAATTCCAAGAGCTTTCTTGCAAATTAGGACCGTTGATGGCCAATAAGATTTGAGAATTTTCTTATAGTTATGATTAATATGATTATTTAGGTATTATATTTTTAGCTGGGTGACACATGAACATGTGGATTCCATATCGCGTCGGCTTTGGTTTTAACCCAATTATCATTCGTTTGCTTGACAATGTTTCAATTATTTATGAGATTTTTGTCGCAGGCCAGGAAATTATGTCCTGTTAGTGCGACTCTGACATCTCTGCCCAACTGGAATTTTTAATACAGTAAGAATCGTGCTTCAACTGTAGCAAAAAAGTATATATATATTTCAAAAGAAAATCTTGACACAAGTGAAACATTAGCTCATGCTTACTAAGATGTTTGTTCAGTTCGTGAACAGATGGTGGCAAAAACACACAGAATTATTTATCTAACTGGTGAGAAAGGGTATATCGTTTGGGGGCGAATTGTCATTGTGCGGTTAGACAGTCGTCGTTTAGCATTCACAGCACATTTTCGAAAACCCTCCACACTACATAAACAATTTTGAGTATTTCTATTCTTCTTCTATGATATCACCATTTGAAACATTGCCTAATCTTAAATTATATTTTCTTTCTGTTTAAACAAGTCACTTAACTCGGCTATCTTTCAATAATAACAGCAGACCATATGAATATTGATATAACACTCAGTCAATGCTTGTGCACTTCACGGAAGTTAAGTTAGGTTCTTTGAAATAACATTGAAAAGATCACTCTTTCGATATGAAAATAACGCGTAGGATCTTAATTAAATGTCACTGCGTGGCTTTTAAATCTAAACTACACATAAATAACACTTATTTGCAACAAGTTATAAATATTGTAAGATTTATGGTGAGGGTTTCTTGTATAAGGTCGTAGATTAATCTAACATTGAAAACAAGCTAAGTTTTACGTGTCGCAGTTCAAAAAAATTGAAAAAGGATAAGTGGCCCTTAATCTATTCGACAAAGGAATGAAAGTTCAAAATCAAAGTTCGGGCTGTTGGTTTCTTCGATTGTGTTGGTCTTTTGCGGTTCAACATACTCAGCCGGCCACTAAACCGCGTAACGAGAAGAATAATTAATCATAAAGATCTTTGCCTTTAGATCATCGTTATTTGCATTTCGCTTTTTTGTCGGAAGAAATACTTCAAATATACGATATACAGCTGCAGTTCGTTCACAACCAATCAGGAAAGAAATGGAAATTTAAAAAAAAAGAAACGAAGAAAAAATGACTTGATGATTCATTCCATCGTAGGGGAGACACAACGGGCATCACCGATAAAGAGCAACACAAAAACGAGTTTCCACGATTAAATTATTTTCTATTAATTTTTCAAACCAGGTTATATTCTTGACAAAAACAAATCGAATTTTCTCGGTTGCACTTCATAAAGTTTTAATGGACAAGCAAGCACAGAAGAGAAGGCACGCATCAGTGGTGCGAACATTAATTCACTTCGGCAAGATGAGGATTAAGAAGAAACCTCGACATGAGAAGCACAAATCTCCCAGGCCAGGACCACTGATAAGACGGATTCTACTTAATTCTGCTCAAGTAGTGGCCACGCCAAGCATCATGTCATTACAGAGGCTAAATGCTACAAATATTAACAGAATTGTTGTCAACGTTGGGGGAACAAAATATGAAATTGCCAAGCAAAATTTGGAGAAGTTCCCAGATACGCTTCTCGGTAGCGACAGGAAAAATTACTTCTACGACAAAGACAGAATGGAATACTTTTTTGATCGCGATCCCGTGATTTTCAAGAGCATAGCTGAGTTTTATCGTGTCGGGTCATTTCACGTTTCATCTCCTTCAGCGATCTGCATGGAGGCAATTTTAGATGAGCTAGCCTTTTTTGGAATTCCTCAACACCACGTCTTCGATTGCTGCTGTGAGCATATTATCCTTGGAGACGAGGAGCAAGAGAAAATGAAGAAACAAGAAGAAGCTGTCGAAAGTTGCAAGCACGCCAAAAAGCAAGGTTTATGGACCGCTCGAGAGAGACTATGGGAATTTCTGACCAACACAAAGAGTTCAAAAGCATCAGCTATCTTCGGCTATTTATTTGGAGCGGTAGTTGCTCTCAATATCTCAGCAATCGTTGCGGAAACCGTGCCTACCAAGTCTGGCAAAAAGCAAGGTGAAGTACATCTCACCATCTTCTTCGGAATCGACTCTTTTTGTGTTGCCATTTTTACTGTGGAGTACATAGCACGCCTATACTCAGCTCCAAATAGATTTGAATTCGCACGCGACATGTCAAATATCATCGACCTGCTTGGAATAATTCCCTACTACATTGGGATAGTAGAGCATGGCGTCCAATCTCACAATCCTGTGTTGGGCTTTTTTGTGACTGTATTTCGTACTTTCAGAGTTTTTCGCGTCACAAAATTGGCTAGGCATTCGGAAAGGTTCCAAAACTTGATATTGTCTGTTAAAGGAGCAGCGACAGAGCTTGGTGGAATTCTGTTTTCATTTCTTGCCTTGATGGTGACTTTCTCGTCCATGATGTATTATTTTGAACGAAAAGAAAAAGATACTGAATTTATAAGCATTCCAGCAGCTTTTTGGTACACCTTGGTTACCATGACAACCCTTGGGTAGGTGCCCTGAACCCTGGGGGTACACGGGGTGGCTCCAACCAAGGGGCATATTTATCGGGGAGCTTTAGGTTTATCCAAGGGTGGGGATTTCACAAGTTGAAGTATATGAAAGGGAAGGAAAATCTATCATTTAGGTATCCAAAAGGGGCCTTTAATTCAAATGTTTTGAAAAGATGCGCCCTATGGTTTAGCTTGAGAAAACGGCCAACATGTCTGATTTGGGAAAACAAAATATAAAAGCTGAAAAAGGTCTACTTCCGCGCAATGCCTTTTGAGAAATGCTTTTGTTTTTTTGTTGCGCCAAAAAAATTGCAGTGCGCTAAAAAGTTTCGTTGAAAATCGTCCCGTGTGACATTTCCTTAAACTTGGGCAAACGACCAACTTGCAACGCTGTGTTGAGCTAAAATCTTCGTTGCGAATCGTCCCATGTAAAATGACCTTTATAACTGTTGTTGTGATTTCAGTTATGGGGATATTGTTCCAAGCACACTCAAGGGACAGCTACTCGGCGCCGCGTGTGCTTTGATGGGTGTAGTGCTGCTGTCGTTGCCCGTGCCAATTATTGAGAGACAGGTAATTCAAATGAATAAGACGCATTTGTCAAGTCAGCTAGTCCTTTGAAGGTGGTCTACTTTGACCGGTCCGTTCATTTCGGTCGGTCAGAACGAAATGTCCCTTTCTATTTGACAAAATTAAAAATTGTTGTCCAGAGTATCGCTCTTCCGTACCCTGCTTACAAGCACATTAACCAAACTCACGGTGTCTCTATTGAGGTCTGTGCAAACGGATTGAGAACGTGGAATTTCCGAAAATTTAAAGCGTTATTTTTGTTGAATGAAAAGCGGCCTTTGGAACGTGAAAAAGGTTTTTCTGCATGTGGGCGGGTTAGTGAGCGGACTAAGGTATTTAAAAAAGATGCTTACAGGCTCTCCCCTTCTCTCTTGCTGCCATTTCTCACTGCTCGCCCGCTTTTTCGCTCGTAATCTGCACTGGCCACCGTCCAGGGACCAGACAATATTAAGCTCATTTTATTTTTATTGTTATTTTGAATTTTAAAATCATAAATGTACACAAAACAAACATCTTTTTTTTAACCCAGCTGAATGAATTCGCACGGAAGCCCAAGCCTAAAACAGACGATACTGTAGCAAGATTAGCTGCATCTCTTCCTCTTCTGACTCATGATTCGTGCCCGAAACACAACGGGTACAAGAGAAAAACACGACTTGTGCGCGCATCAGACTCACGAACAACATCCATGCTCGTAGAGGCTGACAACTCGTTTGACAGCACGACAGATAGCAGCGGCACAAGTTTTAAAAGTAGTTTTGGGAGTCTCCATGACATAAATAAAGTTAGCGAACCTTTAATTGAAGAACAGGATTTCCCGGACGTGAACGGAAATCAAAATATGTCAAGCAGAGACGCACGACGCAGACATAAGAATTGGCATGGTAACGGTGATGTATCGACCGGAGTGGGAGATGGTATTTTTACAGACTCTCGAGACACTTCGCAGTATTTTCCAGTATGTCGCCAGTTGACAAACTCAAGCAGTGACGAAGCTGTGGAGGAGCAGAAAACGCCATCTGAATCTTTCGGTGAAGACGACGAGGAGAAAGAAATGATTCCGATGAAAAAACTGAGACATCACCGGTCATTTGACCCGAGCAAATTTCTTCACGTTGTGGCGCCGCGTAACTGCCAAAGCGTTGGAGATCTGGCATGAACGTAACCTTCGCCCTAAGTAAAAGATCCAGACTCCGGAATCTGGGAAATTTTTGCTTGTAAATCCAGGAATCCTACGCTTTGGAATCCGGAATACAGCTCAAAGAATCCGGAATCCCGCTAAAGATTGGAAACTGGAATCCAAGTTAACTGTACTCACACAACACAGTAACTATACCCAGAATCCGCAGCGTGGAATCTGGATATCCGTTAACATTTTGATGCATGCGTTGTTCAGAAATACACAATTCCGTCAAACAGTACAGGTAACAATCTTATCGCTGCGACTCATCTCTCCGATAAGATCAACAGCCACAAACCGTGAAATCTGTTTCTGTGCCTCTCAAAAAGTGATTTGCACTTAAGCCTGTCCCAGGCTGTCAGAGGATGAGGAAAAAAGGGGCTAAGCCCTTTATTCCTTTAATACGGAGGTTAAGATGATAATGCGTTATTCAGCCATTCGAACTGAAGAAAAATGAAAAACAGTCTGTAGTTACAAGAAAAAAACGACATATATTATGTTTAATAATCAAAAGGATGCACTGTACATGGTTTGCAATACCCTGATTCTTTTGTCGATTCTTCTTTTCTACTTAAAAAATAACTGAAAGAGAGATTCAACCAGCAGGGAGTTTCTAGCTGTCGTCAGCTGCTAGCGGTTAGACAGTTAGGGATGCAGAATTTGTATAAAAAAGCGTTTAAAACTATTCCAGCCGTTTTCTAGTCACTATACCTAGTCAACTGACAAACTACATAAGACAAGTCGAGTTGGTTCAGTGCTGCAAAAGTACGGCCTTCTAGTTTCCGTCAAGGGTGTGTAAGAGGAATCTTTTGCATTTTTTTGTTCTCGTTGTTTCGCTCCTTTTGCTACGCTTTTACTAGGCTTCATTTCCGTAGAACATTAATTTTTTGAAAGGAAGTGCACGTGAGAAGTGGGATAAGACTGTGTACAGCCGAGAGTGAGAAGGAGATGTTTCTTTTACAGGTCACATTCCACAGGTTTTACGATTACAGGTCACTGTTTTATTGATAGTTAAGTAAACCAAGTAATTTCCCCTCGATCAAAAACAACATTCTGGATAAGGATTAGGGCTAGGAGACGCTGCTGGTCTTGTTTATTTATCTGTAACACGGTGAACTATATTCTGACCTGCGGAATGTGACCCGAAAGTTGTAGAAAAAACCTGCCGCCAACTCTTCCCTTAAAAAAAAAAATCAGTTGTTTTAGGGAAAGGGGGCGGTCAAAGTCAAAGTCAAAGTCAAAGTTCCATGCCGTTTTGCGTGTTTGTTGACATGGCGCGGATTCGAGCATAGTTCCAATGATCCACTTTTTTTGCCCACTTATCCCCGGTGATGTCACAAGTGGTACAAAAGATGCAGAAATCAAGGTAGTTATTTGTAAATAATAATAATAATAATAATAATAATAATAATAATAATAATAATAATAATAACATCAAGAAAGTATCAGAGAGAGCTAGTATGACAGAGATTCAAAAGATCTGCATGCTGGGATCTGCACGAATCCTTGGAAAGGTGCTCAGTGTATGAACAGAATGATTGACTTGAGTGACTGACGCTCTAGATGCATGGTTTGCGCCCGGCTGATGCGCAAAAAGAACACCAGCAAAGACTGTGATAATAGAGATAATAATAATAATAATAATAATAATAATAATAACAATAATAAACAATTTGAATGTTATGAAGCTTGTGTTTTTTTAAAAAACAAATTCTTACAAGAAAAAGTCAGTATCTGTTTTATTTTTGAACAAAACAATAAGTAAAGAAAAGAGAATTCAATTCCCTTTCTGTATCTATCTTTTTTTTTTAACTACAATTTACCTGAATAAGAGTATAAGATAACTTGTATAAATCAATTAACAGTTGACACAATTTTGCATGCTCATGTTTCAAATTCTGATTAGCTGAGTTCATAAAATTATCTTTTTTGGGTGTTTTTGAGGTAAAAAGCCTAGGATTAACCCTTTAAGTCCCAATAATGACCAATATTAATTTTCTCCTAATGATATCCATACAATGTCAAGAGATTAGGTTATGAGAATTGATAAAATGATCCCCTAAAAGAAAATGTTTTGATATTTTATCAAATTCTCTTAACTCGTTCTTTAAGGAAAAGTATAGGGATCAGTTTGGAGAATTGGTATGTGGATACTGGGGCTCAAAAGGTTGATTGAAATCTCTTACAACACAGTAAATACCTAACCAGCATGAGCAAGAGAAAACTGGCTATACTGACTCCTTTCCTGATACTGTTAACTTTTCTACTACCATCATTGTAATAACCTTCAGTCTTGGGAATTCTTTATGTCAAAAGAACGTTTTAAAGAACCAAATACAGTTCTGCGTTAGTACTTTAAACAACAACGTTTACAACTTAAACTTCTCCAATTTAAACAAAGATAGACTGGTTTGATACCTGTAGACGATGCCTCTATCATATTTTTATATAACTAATGTTTTCACTAAATTTAGAAAATCATCATATCATCCAGTTTTTAATTTATGATATTGTGTGATACATTGTCACTCAAACACTTTATACTTGAAGTATTTCATCTATCAAGTTTTTCTTTAATATTATCTTAAGTTTCTGTCCAAACCTGTGGATTCACCTGGGGTGTAAAGATCTGTAAATCCTGGAGAAAGACTCCAAATGAATCAAACTTTATTCTCATCAGCAGGAAGATCGCACCAGTCTATGGGTTTCTTCCCATTTTTCTTTAGATATTCATTTGCTTGGGAAAAATGTTTGCAGCCCAGGAAACCACGGTGAGCAGACAAAGGCGATGGGTGGACAGCTTTTAATACACAGTGCTTCTTCTGTATAGAACAAAATTCAAACAGTAATGTCATGTCTAGAAAATAATAAGGTAACATTTCCCCCTCACCTTAAATCCAGTTCCCCATTGGATGATGGATTGTAATCTAAGTATCAAATATTTTGCAATGTTCTCACTTGGGGAGTTGGTATGAAAGGATTTCATTCTTAGCGGAGCACCATGGGTAAGATAATTTGGTTATCTGTGCATTTGAGAAAGTTTGGTAGTCACATGAGCGTACATCTGTCCATCCACCCATCTGCACCACAGGGATAACAGAGTGAAATGGCTAGTATGGGAGCCTCTTTAACCTGTGTTTAACTTTATAATAGACATCATTATTATAGTCTGAAATATGTCTGAAATAATGTCTGGTTTTCTGACTGAAGTTGTAACCTTGTCCTAAATATAATTGTCTTAAAGGCAGGGCAGTGCCTGGTGGTCCCTGGCACCAAAATTTTGCTCTTGGGCGACTAGGAAAACCTAAGTTTTTGTTATAGAAATCACACTTTGGGCACCCTGGATTTCATAGCTTTCACAATTTTTCTTAGAGTACAGCCTTGATTAAGGTCAATAATAAGTTGATTTGGTTGTGGTGTGGGGTAATGTTAATGCAATGTGTTTTTAATCTTCCCTAGACAATTTGGTGACCAAATCATCTGCAACAAAAGAAAACTACTGTAAATGTGAACAATTGTGGTAGCTGCAGCATTAAACTAACCCATACCTTGTCAATAAAGCTGCCTTTCTTCTGAGCATATGAACCCCAAAGCAGGAACACCACACTGCTGAGGTTGGAATTTATCCATCTTATCACAGCATCTGTAAATTTTTCCCAACCCTAAAATATTATGTTGAAATTCTTCAGAGAATAATATTTCCTAAATATATGTAATGGCTGAATTAATGAAGACATATCAGTAAATTGATTTTTAGTTTAATTGAATTTCATGGGTCTTTTTTATATTTTTTAACCAACCTAGCAGAAGTTTGGGTTATCCTGTTTGATCACATGATGTATATGTTGTGGTTCAATTTTATCCTTGGTTCAAATTTTCTTTCCTTTTGTTTGAAACTCATTATCATGTTATTATCATACATTACCATACCCAAAAACAAAAGAAAAGAAAATTTCAACCAAGGATAAAATTGAACCACAACATATACAACTGCATAGTTTAATTATTGGGTTAGAATATACTAGATAGTTTAACTACTGGTATAGAATGAAAAAAATACGTTAGTTTTACTGTACCTTGTCTTTATGTGAATTTGCTTGTGAAGCAACAACTGTTAAGCATGCATTTAACAACAGAACACCTAAAGAGGAGGACATTAAAAAAAAAAAAATTTGTTGCATCAATGATTTCTTGATTTATTAATTAATTATATTATAATGGAAGGCCATTGGCCAAACCTGGATTGAGCCAGATCAAATCAACCCCTGTAACCCTATCCCTAAAAGCAGGGTTCATACAAAAAATTGGAACCATTTTCTACGGACTTTTCAAGGACTTTTCAAGGAACAGTGAGTTATGTGGTTGATACAATCCAGGTTTTGTTGATGCCTATAATGGCATGTAAGTATTGCATGGCACTGTTCACTGTACCTACCCTGCTTAGCCCAGCCCATCAGATACCCATGCTTGGGTGCTTGGAAATCTTCAATGTCATTGGTCAGCTCCTTGTAGATGTTCACTAAACTATAGTTTAAAAGATGCCCATAAACAAATGTCTACATGTATACCTGCCTATTATATGCATACACTGTACACCCTACAGTACACAACATACACCAATCCTATGATATTTTCTTGACCAAACCAAACTCTTACCTGCCAAAAAATTAACACAAAGAGGTATGGTATCATGTGCTTTCCCTCTTCTGACAAAACTACCCACTGCATGCTAGACTTCTACCCATGAAAGGATTAGTTTTGAGAAGAGAAAAAAGGAAAAACCTAACATGTAGAATAAAGTCTGGTAAATTGATTAATCATAAATTTCTAAGGTTTGAACTTAGAGGTTACTCTTTTTCGTCTACTTTAAAATTCACCTATATTTCTGGGGAATTGATCTGCAATTTTAGCAAGCCTCTGTACAGTATATGCTTCAACTTACCTTGGTGGTATAGCAACACCAGGGGGAACACTGAAACAAAGCCCTGTTATAAAAAAAAACAACAAAGAAAGAAACATTATTTGTACAAATGCATTGTACTAAATGTACAAAGTGAGAACAAAAGTGACAGATCCAAAACTTGATCCAGACCTAATATCCTGAACAAATAAAGATGATGATAATTATGATGATGAGATAATGATAATGATGATGATGATGATGATGACATGAGAAAGTAAGTGTAAAATGTTGATCGTCACTACCTTGCCCTGCTTTGTCACAGGGATTTCAGTGAGGAAATTGAACTTTACACTATTTATTAACCACAGTGTTTATATTAAGAATATTACCATGTGCCTGCCTTGGTCCATGATAAGGGTCTTGGCCAATAATCACAACTTTAACCTTAATGAAATACAAGAAACAACATTCAATAACATCTACATAAAGAAGTGAATGAAAAGGGTGGTTGGTGCTTTGATACTCAGGCCTCCCTCTACCTATTATCTTTGCTCCTCTTCAACAAAGACAAGACTTCTTAACAGATAACAAAAAAACTATAAAGACAGAGTATAATTTCTAGGAGCAATAGGCTGCAGTGGGGCAGAAGTAATTCTTTGCAATGGTACGGGAAGTACAAAAAGTTTGACAAATCAGAAATCTGGCAGCACAAGCCTTGGGTACCTGTTTTATATTACACTGCAGAGTCCAGGTGAACACATCCCTTTCTGCAATGAAGAAACAAGCAATTGTTATTAGCAAGTCATCGTCAAGACCACAAATAATAATTATTATTATAGTAGTACTTGATGTAAAGACCTACCGGCCCAAAACGGCATGCTTTAACACTATGCTTCACTATGTGATTTTTTGGGGGGTTCTATTTGCTCTTGCGTCCTATGGTAGGAGCTCGGTGTTACATTCATAGGAGCTGTGGAAATTCCTGGCCCCCTGCCTATAGTGACAGCTTTGTTCGTTTGTGGCCCTGAGGTTTGCAGGAAGAAATCAGTCAACTTGAAATTCAGAGGTGAATCATACATTCTTCGTGTCTAACGTGTAAATGCTCAAATTAATGCCCAACCTCAAATAAGTGCTCCATCCCTCGAGGTTAAAATAATTAAGTATGCTAGTGCTTCCCTTAAATTAAAATCTGTCCCCCGCTAGTATCCCCACCCACCCCCACCCCCCAACTCTTAACACCCCTTCATACTGAAAAATAGTATACAGTATGTTTATCTTCAATGACCATAGAATAACATGTACAATCAGTGGACAATGAGCAATCAGTCCCAATCTCACCCTCCCCCTCCCCCCCCCCCCCGCCCCTGCTCCCACAAGTAAAGTACTTTGTTTTCTTTCTTACCTGGGGGATAGACAGTCTTGCGAGATCTTTCTTCCTTTACAAAATTACAAAGCTTAAAAAAGAAGAAAGTAAAGCATTCAATTTTGACTAATTTTTAACATCGCCTCGAAAGCTTCAGCTTCACTATTAATTCCACACATCTTTATACGCTTACTTTCATAAAGTATTCCTTGCCAAACTCTGCCGCTAAAGCATTTCTCCAAGACTCTCCAAAATATTGAGGACTTTTATTGGCAAGTAGTCTCTTTTCTGCCTCCTTTCGGTTGGCTTCCATGCGTTCTCTCTGCTCAGGTGAGAGATTTGATACCGGTCTCGGATTCGACGTAGGCGAGCTCTGATCGTCTGTCTTGGAGGACTTGGTTTGGGGCGAATCTGTCGTTACTCCGGCATTTTCTGCTCTCCTTTTTGTGCCTGAGGTGTTAAAGAAACTGGAGATCTTTTTCTGATTGGACATTTTACCGTATTACAGGGTAAACGTTTCAGAATCGAACGATGAATGGCGACGCAAAACTCAAATCACTGATATCAACAAGTTGTTGTTGTTTTCCCGCCAAATTACCTATTACTTTTAGCCAANCCCCCCCCCCCCCCGCCCCTGCTCCCACAAGTAAAGTACTTTGTTTTCTTTCTTACCTGGGGGATAGACAGTCTTGCGAGATCTTTCTTCCTTTACAAAATTACAAAGCTTAAAAAAGAAGAAAGTAAAGCATTCAATTTTGACTAATTTTTAACATCGCCTCGAAAGCTTCAGCTTCACTATTAATTCCACACATCTTTATACGCTTACTTTCATAAAGTATTCCTTGCCAAACTCTGCCGCTAAAGCATTTCTCCAAGACTCTCCAAAATATTGAGGACTTTTATTGGCAAGTAATCTCTTTTCTGCCTCCTTTCGGTTGGCTTCCATGCGTTCTCTCTGCTCAGGTGAGAGATTTGATACCGGTCTCGGATTCGACGTAGGCGAGCTCTGATCGTCTGTCTTGGAGGACTTGGTTTGGGGCGAATCTGTCGTTACTCCGGCATTTTCTGCTCTCCTTTTTGTGCCTGAGGTGTTAAAGAAACTGGAGATCTTTTTCTGATTGGACATTTTACCGTATTACAGGGTAAAGGTTTCAGAATCGAACGATGAATGGCGACGCAAAACTCAAATCACTGATATCAACAAGTTGTTGTTGTTTTCCCGCCAAATTACCTATTACTTTTAGCCAATCAGAAACTTAATCAAGAGAAACCGAAGAAGTCTGGAACGAGTGTGGAAAAACTGTCCGCCATCTTGTATCTTGTACTTTGTGACAATGTTTCGAGTCAAAAGTACAAGGACCTCAGTGTTTCAAAGTGTTGCAAAGATATCAAGACCTACTCACTCAAAGGTTTGTAATCATTTTGCTTAAATCGACAATGAATGAGTGGATCAAATTTTTGGTTTCTTATTTTTAGGGCTAGTTTTAGCTAGGGACTTGATCTCCACTTAGCTTGAAGTTTACTAACTTGCAATTTATTTTCGACTTTTCTGCTCTATTTTCTTATTATTTTTAAGGGCCAAATATGTCCATCAAAGAAATCCTTACAATTGAAGTTACAAAGGTGTAAATCAACAGCAAAAAATCCACCCAAGTAAGTTCATAAAAACATGCGTAATAATACTTATACACATTACAATATTGATGTGTAAATAAACTAAATGGATGGTCTTTTTGGTGGGTAAGGTACACGTAAAAATAGCCAAGCGTTTTCAGTTATCGTATGTAAGTCCAAGCACCCATAGAATGCAATTCAAGGTTGACCTCATGCTCTGATGATGCGAGTTCAGTCTAGTCATTTAGGAGTTCCCTTAGTGTCAATGTATTCAGCACAAGTTATACCTTGGGCTTGATCACCAGCCGCTGATCGGGAAACGAACCCTTGCTCCTCCCCCTGAACAGATGGCTGGACGCGTGGGTTTACTGTTACCAATATGTTGTCTTTAGTATTCTGCCTAAGTTGTCATGTTATTTACCCTGCTAGCTGAGTTGCTTCGATCTTTCCTAGATAAGCCAGGATCTTTTCTAGATAAGTCTGACTTATCTAGGAAAGATCAAAAGGACTCTGCTAGCCGGTTACTTGTTATTCTGCTTAAAAAAAGAACTTTCTGTATATCCTTGTTTCAAGGTCAACAAAAAGCTCATCAACCTGGAAGATAATAGGAGGAGTAACGGCTGTGTGCGGTGGAAGTCTGGCTGGGGCTGCACTAGGATATCATTACAGTACTGAATTCCGCCATCTGGTGCAGGAAAATCTCCCAGTTATTGAACCATTACTCAGCTCCTTAAATTCATATTTAGATAACCAAAATCAGCGAGCAGGAACAAAACAAACTAATGTTCAAGAAGATGCTAGAAAACTGCCATTTTCCAGTGAGCCTTTAAATCTTGGTGCTCAGAAGGTAAAGCAATAAAAATTATGTGACATCTGATCATTTTGTACAATGCATCTGTTTTGTAAAATTTAGAAAGGGTCTTGAAGTGTTCAACCGATTCAGCACCATCCGACAAAGGGAGATGATGTTGGGTAGTGTTGGATGGTTTGTTGAAATACACCAAACACTGTCCAACAAATTGCTTAGGAAAATTTAGTCAAAAATGTTTCTAGACTGATTATGTCTTTGAAAACTTTAAACACAGCAACGCTTGTTTTTGCTACTAAATTAAAATATAATGCAAAAGCTGTTCGAGTGTGAAACATCAAAATATGGGCATGGAATGCATCTTCTCTGCATTTGCAATGCATGTGAACTTTGAGTACATTGCTTTACTTATATCTTTCTTAGGATGATGCTTTTCCTCTCAAAAAACCTGCCAATTCTGTGGCTGGAAAGAAAGAGCCAATAGCATCGGTTTCATCAATTGATCAAACAGCCATCTCAGCAGTAGATCTTGCAATAGCCTCTACAGTGGAGAAAGAAGCTAGACAGGTTAATCATAAAACTGAGACCAAACCTGATTCTTCTCATGACACTGTAACTGTNCTGATTATGTCTTTGAAAACTTTAAACACAGCAACGCTTGTTTTTGCTACTAAATTAAAATATAATGCAAAAGCTGTTCGAGTGTGAAACATCAAAATATGGGCATGGAATGCATCTTCTCTGCATTTGCAATGCATGTGAACTTTGAGTACATTGCTTTACTTATATCTTTCTTAGGATGATGCTTTTCCTCTCAAAAAACCTGCCAATTCTGTGGCTGGAAAGAAAGAGCCAATAGCATCGGTTTCATCAATTGATCAAACAGCCATCTCAGCAGTAGATCTTGCAATAGCCTCTACAGTGGAGAAAGAAGCTAGACAGGTTAATCATAAAACTGAGACCAAACCTGATTCTTCTCATGACACTGTAACTGTACAGCAGCCACCAAAGAGTGAGCGGGATAAGGTGGAGTCTGCGACAGCAGCAGTATCAGTGCTAGACCATATTGGAGTATCATCTATAGACCTTGATGTTGCTGCATCTGTTGAGAAAGAGGCTGATGCTGCGAAAGCAGATAAAATATCAAAGCAATCAGGGGAGTCAGGTGAAAAGGAGAAACAAGTTGAGTTGCAGGAAATTAGAGGTTAGGATAGCTGTGTTATTTGATGATTAATAAAGTTCAGATATAACGAACACTCTGATTGGTTGAGAAAGGGTGCTTATGAGGGCATAAAACACAGATCTAAAGCTTTCGCAATACATGTAGTTGTTTTTTAATATTAGAAAGTAATGCATGGGAAATTTAACAGTTTCTTTATTATAAAACCAACAAAGAAGCCTGACTGTTTAGGAAGCAGCTGGAGCACTCAAGAAGTAGGCAGAAACAGTCAACTACTGTATGTCATTTGTTTCCCTTACACTTCTTTCATACCCGCTACCTGTATGATTAATAACAGAACAGAGCTTATTCAACCATTTCAGGGTGTCTTTATTTGTTAAATAATGTAAAAGATAAAAATAGTAATGCGACCAGCAGACCTTTATGTTCATTTACAGTAGTGAGCCAATGGCAAGCAAGTGTAAATCTGTACAAATCTGATGTGAAACCAGCTAAGCATTTTGGGTTTTTATTACGTTGCTGTTAACTTGAGTTGTCTAAATGAGAGTTGTATGTAAATGAGCACAACTCTGCTTCCTGTTTTATACTGAAACACTCATGAGACACTATTTTGTTTTGAAGGGTAGCAAAGAGGAGGCAGTGTGGCTGAGTGGTCAGGACTGTTGGACTGGCAATCCGGCCTTCCCGGGTCCAAATCCTGCTCTGGCCACTCCCTGGATTTGATCTTGGTCGTCCCAATTTCAAATCCTTGGCAACACTTGAAAATAGCCAACTGGTTGCCTCTTGCCCAGTTGGGGTTTATAATCCTATTAGGTTCTATTTAAATTCTAGTTGCACTTTCCACAGTAGACAAACCTTTAAACCTTTAATCTTTAATAGAAGCTGTAGGTGGTGGAGAACTTAGAAGAGTATGATATGAAACAGTAGTAACAGGTTTTTTTAATCCTTGAATGCAGCAGAAGTGGATACTAGCCTTACAGAAAAGGAAGTTGAAGCAATGGTCGATAAAACAGCCATGGAACTCATGGTTCATCAGGCCCTTGCCAAATTACAAGCCATTGGTCAAGATGCCGTAGAAGCACATCAGAAAGCAGCAGGCGCTGTCAAAGCCCATGTTGAGCAACTCAAGGCTGCTTTGGCTCAGTCACAACAGGAAGGAAGTTTGAAGGATCTTAGTGATATGGTGCTGAATTCTCAAAAGGTTGCAACAGACTGTGTTGCTGCAGCCAAAGCTGCACAGGTATGTGAAACAATGTTTGTAGACCACTGTGGTGTCTTCCTCTGGAACTACAGATTTCTCAAAAAATCTAACCATTGCAAGAGGTTAGTCTATTTATCCAGTATAGTTGTTGTACTGTCTATGGTGCAGGTCAAAATAATACTATATTCAGGTTAACCTAGGCTGACTCTCAATTTCCTTTGTCTAGGAGACAAAGAGAAATTGAGAATCAACCTACTGTAAGTTAAAAAAAATTGACCTGAATTTAATTTTGACCTGTAACATGTACATACCTTTGTCACATGTTTTGCCACATTACATAAAAATTAACCTTTCACTCCCAAAGTAAATGATGGATCTTCCAACGCAGTTCAAACTTATGAGTTTCTGGATGAAATTATGTGATTTGGCCATCCAAGTAAATCCAATAGTACTTTCTTTAATTATAAAATGGAAATGAAATTTGGAAATTTTCGTCAAATTTTTACTTGTGGCCACTTCCAAGAGTGATAAGGTGAAGTAGCCCTGCAGAAGTACAAGAAAAGAGCTGTGTACATGTAGTTAGTAAGAACTGGAACATGCAAAAAGCTTAATGCTGCTCAGTGAATCTCCATCTGATGACTAACCACATAAATAATTTATTGTATGATAAAGCTGCAACATTATGGCATCCATACTTGTGTTTCTTTGGCCAACCCTCAGTCAACCCTTTTGTTTGTGTAGGTAAGAGTAAACGAAGAAGTAGAAAAGCTGCATTCTTACTAGTTTCTTCGACTTTGACGACCACGATCACTTCGTCCTTGGTGACGTTGCCGTCTTCGTCGAGCTCAATCGATACTACAAGTCTTTCGTCGAAATCTATACGTCGTTTCATTAGCAGAGGCTGCAGTGTTGGAAGGGCATCAGAAGGATTTTCAAGAAAGCAAAGAGATGTTTAAGAAAGAGCTATTAGACATTATACCTGGTGCATTGTCAGCACAAACTGGTGAGGGTGCTGTCGAGGACAAGAATGTCAGGTACATGCAAGTGTATTTCAGGGCTGTCATTGAGAGGCAGGGGCTGGGAATTTCCCCCAGCTACTATGAACCCGGCCCCCGGCTTCTTTCATTGGAAAATAGAAGAAAAATAGAACTAAAAGAAATCTCAAGCTGTTTTATTCCCCACCTTCTTGTTGTATTTACTCAGCAACTTGAAATCTTAGTGACATCCCTGGCATTTGGCAGAAACCCTCCTTTTTAGTGAAATACTGTCCTTAATTGTTTTTGTTTTTCTAACAAGTGAAAAGCACTTTAGTGCACAAAATGATAGGTTTTAAAATTGCATTTTTTTTTTACTTTTAAGTTACTTGCACATTTGTTAGTGTTGATAAAAAGTGCTGACTTTTTATGAGAGCCGTAAACAAAGTCACTTCTGAGAAAGTAAGTGAGATAAGATTTGTGACAGTTTTATTGTCTGAGCCAATCTTGTAAGTGCGAACTATAAATGTCAGATTCAAGTTGATAATTTATTCCTCAAGTCTGGGAATGCGACAATTAAAACTATCTAAAATAATAATTATTATTCTGACTTACTATTTTTAATAGTATAGCTACATGTATAATAGATAGTCAATGGCAAGTCAAGTGAGAACACGTTTGCCCTAATTGTGATTCTATACAGCATTTTTTTTTCACATGATGTCACATCCGCCATAATTATTGGTGTCCCAAAACAATGAAACGGCAGCCATGTTGGTGTCCCAAACCAGTCCTGTGGGAGTTAAACTTTTTCTTATGTTAAAACCTTTCTTTTGTGCCAATAAATTTGCATAGCTGCTGGCCACGTGAGTGAAAAGGCTCTATATTTTTTCACATGATGTCACATCTGCCATATTGGTGTCCCAAAGTAATGCATCCGAGGCCATATTGGTGTCCCAAACCAATCCTGAATTGAGTCAAAATAAAAGAGTTATATTTTATTTTTTTTGCTAATTATTAACAAAGCCCAGCCCAACCTCCATTCAGGAGACACGTCTGTTCAGGGGACACTTCCCTTGGCCCCAAGGGTGTCCCCTGAATAGAGGTTCCACCGTACTCTTTACAGACAATTATACAGGTAAATTAAACTCCTAAGTAGGAGAGGGATCTTTAAGGGGAAACGTTTAAACAAGCTTAATTGGAATTGTATGAGAGTTGAGGTGGTTGAGCCGGTTAAAAAAACTGTACAATTGAATTACATCAGTAATAGATCAACCGATGACTGTTTAGCTGAAATGGTTGAGGAGGCAGCTTACTTACGTATTTCCCTAGGCCCTTGGCTCCTAATGGGCTTAGGCTATCAAAAACATTCCATAACTTGGCTCTGGGTTGTTCTTAATTCACAAGATGGGTTGATGTTGGCTTTTCATCTATGCTTCTGCAACAAGAATGTTTCTAGATAGCAGTGCTGGCCCCATGCAAACCTATTCAACCAGGATGGAGGAGGTCCAAATAAGACCAGCTTCTACCCTTTGACCTGTCCAGCTTGGGTAACCATACCAGGAGCTAGTCATCTCGATGGCATAGATCTCCTGGTCAATGCCACCACATCATGGCAAGGAATGGACCATGTTGTAGAAGGAGCCAGTCCCGTGCCAGATCCATATTCAGGGTCTTAACCGAACAGAATGTGCTGCCTTTGTTCCACACATGCAAATGGTTAGACATCCTAGTCTTTCCTGATTGGGAAGAAAAACAGTAGACCCCTTCTCTGATCTAGCTCTTGTTTCACGTACGTGTAGTAGTCTCTGGCAGTGATAACCTCCTCTTGTTTACCTGTCATGGGTGGTCATGGGATTGGTAGGGAAGGAAGGGCACCTCGCGTGGGACCTATGAATCATTTGCGCCCATCAAAATTGGGTATCGCCATACGCCCACTTGCTTTTCAAGCAGCTAAACGCTTTTGCATTGATCTTGAAAACAGATCCGAGTCGGTGTTATTGGCATATGCTCGCAAAAGGCTTGAGCAGCTGACCAAAGAACTGTCCAATTACCAGGCAGAAGAACAAAAGAGGCTGGATCATTCACTTAAAGTGCAGCGCGAGGAAGACGCCAAGTTAACTGAGCTCAAACTAAAGCAAGAAGCAGAAAGGATGATGGCTGAGTTTGAAACGAGCTTGAAAAAGAAGGTAGGAAAAATTGAAAAGTGGCTCAAAAGGTTTTGTTACTGTTAAAGAAAGGAGCCGAGACATAAACTTGACTCTTCTCGTCTCCTGGGCCGAGTTGTTCAAATCTGGGTTAAGATAACCCAGTGTTAGTGCGAAATTTGAATTCATATTTGAAAGCTTAAAAAGCATTTCAGTTTTAATTCTTTTTGTCTACAAGTTGATGATTGGAAGCTCTAAAATTAACAGAGAAAATTATCCGAGAAAATACTTTTGAACACAACAAAAAGAAACCAGGGTTAAATTTAACCCTGGGCTAAACGCTAATCGGCCTTCGAACAACTGGGCCCTGCTTACTCAATTCGTTTAAAGTTGCTCCCGTAGTCGTCAAACGTTACATAACAAATGCAATAATAAATTCAAACACTTTATGTATCATCGTTGAATTCATGTACTGTAGGTCTGCAGGACTGCAGGAGCAGTCGTTCTACCTCTCTTTTGAAATAAATTTAGTGACTAAAAGACAACAGGATCGTGAACTGACACTACGGGACCACAGGAGCAGTTGACTAGTATTGCTTCAAAGAGGCCGGGTATTCTAAAGCAACTCGAAACAAACTTTGTTACTTCAGTATCCATTATCCATAATCCAATGGTGTAAATGTAGTGGTAAATGGCATATCCGTGCCGTCGTGGTCATAGATTGAGTACTTGTATATCAAACATGAAGCTGACCAGTAAACCAGCAGACTAATTTCCTGCTTCTTACACCGCCTACACTTTAGGAAACCTCTTTGTTGTTCAAATGCAAACATCGTTTTAGTTCTGACAGTTGTGGTGAATTTACAGATCTTGTTCGTGCTTCACGAGAAAAAAAAAGTTGCCAATGATAAATCGCTAACTATAGCAGTGAGAGTGACAACCAACAAACCAATAGTGTTATTTAAAACGTGACGGAATACGGTCATCTCACCACCAGACCTTAATGATCTCGCGACCAAAAATTCGATTGCCGACAACAAACTCACCACCATGAATTCGACTCGCCACTAGCTAATAACACTGAAATAGGTAACACACTTACCAAGGAGTTTGCCCACGTGGCAGTGCTAAGGCTGTGGGTGTAGCCACTACTGGGCCTTTTTGACGGTTGAACTTTAATTTCTGTATTCTCAGGAAGCTGAGTTAGCGGAAGTACATGAGTCAACCCTTCGTCAACAGCTACGTCGCCAAGCAGCAGCCTACGGTGATCATCTAGCCGAGGTGCTGCGGGTGCAGGCTGAAGAACTCGGCAACAGGTTTGTTTCACCACTCGTGCGTGACTATATCCTTAGAAACTAGCTAGCTCAAGCAAAGACGTTTTTGAGTGACGCAAGTCAACCGGAAGTGAGGCATTTTCCTTTTCAATATACCTTGACGCTTCCAAATGTGTATTTCTAAGTGTTTTTACTCTTATAGAGACGATTCCCCAGAAAATCTTCACATACTAACTACTCAAGCATGCAAAACGTCCACTTCCGGTTGACTTGCGTTGCTCAGAAACGTCTTTGCTTAAGCTCCCTACTGCCCAGAAACTCTCCATCGGCGAACTTTCCCCAGAATGTGTTCAGGCGATCGAGAAGATCATAACCATGAAAACGCTTCTGATGCGATGCGGGTCGATCCAGATGACTGGGGAGATCACAATTGCTTCGATAGGATCACCTGGATAGCCTGGGTAGGCTGTGTCCATAACACTCTCTCCTCCGCAGAGGCTACCGCTGGGTATTCCAATAAAAATAGCAAAAATTAAAAAGATAGTCAGCGCGCGCTGTACGATGGAAAGAGGGAAAAGGCGGGAACCTCTCACCCCTTTTTCCCTTTCCATGCCCCAGCCTCCCTCCAAGACAAAGAGAGAGTGCATGACGTGATATTACCTTGTGAGGTGATTCTGATTCCCATCCCATTCTAATTTTCTGCACATTACTTCCAATTGCCTTAGAAAAATTCCACTTGTCTCTTGCCGGAGACTTAAGGGTATAGTTAAATCCTTGGCTGGCAAAAAACACTAACTTGGCAATTTAACTCCTCTATAGACACAAGGAAGATTTACAGCAGAAGTTGAATGCTGAAAAGTCCGCCTTTGAGACGCAACTGAGCGGGGCCCTTGCTCATCTACGAGGTGTGGAATCAGTGGTAGAAGGCCGAGCGGATATCGAGAAACAGAATAAGCAGTCTCAGAAACTATGGGCAGCTTGCCAGTCCCTGGCTTCAGCTATTGACAGAGGTGTTGACCGCCCCAGTCCCCTCCTTGCCCAGCTGACAGCTATCAACGATGCTGCAGCTGATGATCCACTGGTTTCTCAAGTTTTGAAATCCCTACCTGAAGAGGCAGTATGGTCTCCTCACAACTTACTTCTTTTGTATTCCGCAGCGAAAATGTTTCACGCCTCTACCACGGCAGCACACCGGTACTATCCTCTATTACCTCGCAGAGGAACCTGAGTGGATGAAAGGATGAAAGTTAGTTTCTTTATTTTCGATTCATTCGATCCTGTGAAAGAAGGGGAACTTGTTGATGCTGAAAGTGCGGACACTTTTGATCTTCTTGCGCGCGCAGATTATTACCTACGCCATGGCGATCTGGAGCTAGCCACACGATTGGTTAATCAGCTCCGCGGGGAGCCCAGAAATGTTGCGCGTGATTGGCTGATTGAAGCTCGGTTGTTGTTGGAAACAAGGCAGGCTGCCAATTTGTTGACTGCTTATGCCGCTCTCTTAGGAACAGCGGGCAGTGAATAATGTTCCGAATTGTTTAGAAAAAATAATTGCGAATGAACGTTTTGACAAGCTATCATTCAGAACATACTTTAACAATCCGTTTTACCACAAACTGGTGGAGAACAAAAATAAAGTTCTCATAAAATTGTTTCCCTTGTTTTAATTAATATTTAACACATCTATTCTCATGCATAAAGGACCGGTACGCATACCTTCTTCTGCTCCTTTACATAACAGGCCCAAAATGCCTATCGATGATTTGTTGCAGACTTAAACGAGAAGCCTTTCTCATAGTGAATCCGTTTTCACGAAGGCGGGCTAACGCTTGAAAAATCAGGTTTTAAATTTCTTTACATGCAAGGGAAATAAATGTCATTACATGTGGAGAGAATGTGCAGGATAGTGGTGTTTAGTGTTTTTCAAAGACAATCTCTGTTTTCTAAACGAATCTCTGTAAGTAACATCAATACTGGATCCTGTCTTGGTAATATAACCATTAGTCCTTACCATATTAAACTAACTAATTTATATTTCATTATTTAGTGGACAAGTAGTTAGAGAACTGGACTTGCATTGTAAATGCCTCAAGTTGCTGTTCAGGTCTCGTTCTGACCGCTATCGCTAGCTGGATTTGTTCTCTGTACTTCCGAATTCAACTCCTACAACTAACTAATGCAAATAAATTCGACCGCGTGGCAATTCTTTCTGGATATGTACACGACGTAAACTGTTCCCTGGCGACGTAACTGCCTCTTCATTTCTTCACTTCATTCTAAGTCCTTTGACAGGAGGTCGTAGTAGTTAAAACCATATTTGTGGACTAAATAACCTGGTTTTGAATAAGCAGTAGCGTGATTCAGCTGACACTTTATTGACGCATGCACTTTGGAACGGAATGTTCTAAAACTTCCACTTTACCAACATTGATAGAGCGACATTCAGGTGATCGTAGGCAGTAATGAGCGCACTGTATTTCAGAAGAAACCAACGCTTCTCTGATGCTGTTGTTATTCAATGCCATGTTGTTTTTGCCTCGTCGAAGCATTCCATGATTGGTAATGCTGTGGTTTATACAGGACGTAAAACACCCCCTTGTCTTTCGTATCCACGCATTCTGGCACACTGAACACCGAAATTCCCGCTGCTGGCTTCCACTTCCACATGTCACCGAACACGAACTCCATTCGCTCCACGAACCTACAGTAATATTTAAAAAAGATTTCTTTCAAGCAAGGTGAACTTGAGATCAGACTCGACCTGTGCTAATTTTTCATCATTATTATGTTCTGTGTTTGCTTGAATCATTTAGCAGTGATTCACTCAAATCTAGCTGGCTAGTTTACTATAAATTTCGGCCTTTTGGTGCCATTCCCGAAACATGTTTATCTCTAAGATGATTGTCCAAAACCAGTGCGTTTACCCTTTTACAAGCAACCGGAAAATAGTTTTGGAATCTAAAACGGTACAGTTTTATCCAGGGAAACATTTTCGGAGAAGATAAAATCTAGGCTGAGATGCATTCCTTTTTTTTCTATATCAAACGGAGTGCCTCTGGACCCAACCGTATCCTCTTAGTGGTCTACTCTGGCGCAAAGTTCGAGATAATTTCGGTATCTCCTCATGAAAGAAAAAAAAGCTCATTCTGGATAGCATTCCAACTGATTTTCAAATAGTAAGCGCTTCAAGGGTGCAAGGAATATCCCGCTTAATAAGCGAAAAAAAAAAATTAACTAACCTAGCCTTGAGAATGCGTCTGTACTTGCGGTATTCCACGCAAAAAATACCAAAACTGAAATAAAGTTTCTCAAAAGCGCCATCTTAGAAAATCGCAGCTTCAAGAACTGCAGATTTTTCTATATCTGTCGAAAACACAACACATGAATAAAGTTTCACGGTGACTGAATAATCAAATAATTGTCATGTTTTGTTTTGTTTTTTTTTTCACTGCGCGCCGCAGTGGCCGGAATGATTGCTTCTTTTTAACATCAACCCGCTGATATGGTGAATCCGGAAACTTTACATTCAAGTTAAAGTGTTATCAGTCGGATAACAATACCGAAATAAATTTATTTTTTATGTTCTTGGTTTTGTCACAGCGATGAGATTTGCTAGGCTAGAGTTGTTGCTTTTTGCTTTTATCAGCGAACGAAACAATGCGAAGGAAATCGCCTTAATCATTTCGCGGCAATTAATTGTGAAGATTTCAAAGAATATATTTGATTTAATCAATTTCATTTCCATTTCGTAGCCTAAAAGCAAAGAAGTAGTGGAATTGAGTACAAGTGAAATTATAAACCCCTCCAGCCCGGCCAAAATCTGTAAACGAAGTAAAAATGAGACCATTTATCCTGGTTGTAATTTGGAGGAACAGTAGCGTGGATCAGCCGGCATTTTAGTGAAGCATGCACGCTGCTGGGGTTACAGAAAACTTCCGGCAAACCTTCGTTGTGTTTGTGCTGACCAGCATTCCTAACCCACTGGCATCTTGCAAAGAGGACACTGTATTTCCGACAAAACTAACCCTCCCTAATATACTTTTTTACCAATTCGTCCCTCTTTGAAACCCTTCCTCTTTGGTTATGCTGTGGTTAGTAGCACAGGGCATTAGTCCCTCTTGTTAATGCTTCTTGTGTCACAAAGACACAACAGTATAACCTGAACACGTTCTGAACACGTTCGATTAATTAGTTCTGCTCTCCAGCGAGATAAACGTGGAACTTCTAAAACGACCGTAGAAAACAAAATTTAGTTTACTCACGTCTCCTCTGGTTCGTGCATAGAACATGAAATTCAGAGATCCAATTTTTAAATTTTAGTTACGTTGAATTCGAAGTCATTAATTGAATGAGACCAAAGTCATATTTGTTCCCTATAATTTTGAAATTAATCAGGGCTTTAAGTTTTCCTTCATTATTATTGTCCGGTCCGCAATCTGATAACAGTTACTTCAACAATCTTCACCACCATGACGAGTTAAGGAAAAAAATTTCGAAACATTCGTATTGATCTCGTAATGATGAAAGGAAGAAATCGTGCGTACAAGGGTCTGAGGTTCCACTGTGCGGCGTTTTAAATTTGACAACTTCATGGCTTTACACCCAGTTAATGAGTGAGCATCCTGCATAGAACCTTTGGTGGATGTGCATTATATACTAATTTAAAGCAATACATTTTGAAATCCCCTCTAAGAGGTGTTAAAACTGTAGAAAACACGTTTTATAGTTTTAAATTACCTGATCAAATTCCCAAGAATTTTTAATGACTAAAAAGTTGGGGAAATAAAGAAAATTGCCATCTCAGCTTAATGGCTGGATGATGGGTTTGGCTGAGAGATTCTTCTCCTAATGATAAAAGGTGCTAGTCGTAAACGTACATCAAAAGGAGTTCCCGCTAAGAAACCTTTTAAACTTGACGAAGGCTTTATACTGTAGCCAGCCTTATTGACACGAATTTTATAAATTAGCTATAGGGTAAAATAACTTCACTTTCTCGAAGCGGCGGTAAAACGCAAGGAAACAAGCCCGGCTGGTCAGGTTAGCCCACAGCAGCTATATGTATCGGGGATTGAAAGAGACCGTGTATTTTTACTGAAAAATTAGGAAAATAAAGAAAATACCATCTGAGGCCAATAATGTAAGTGGAAGAAAACCCCAACTGTGATTTTTTGAGAGAAAATCATCTTTCAGTCAAAATCACTATCCTCTGATACACAAGACCGATAGGTTTACCCCTTTCTTACAGACTTTATTTGATAATTTAAAATTTAGAAGTTTGTGGTATTTGATGTTTCTGTCGCGTTTGACCCTTTTCCTTAAGGCGCCGTTTAAACTCTCAGCGGTCATTAGCGAAAGCGGCCGCGCGCAAGGGCCTGGGTTCTAATATGCTGTAGAGTATGTCCTTTATCAGTATAGCGTGATGTAGTAAAAAGACCGTCCTTTTTAATAGGATAGTATTTTCCCTCATTAATTGACAATCGAGTGATGCAAGCTTCTTTTCTGCACAATCTTTCAGGCTGTCAGCTTGCGGGAACTTCAATTACACTTATAAACCAGCTAAACGAAAGAAATTTCTAAGCAAAAACTTGGAAGCCATGGTTCCTTTCTTTACTGCTGAAGGATTAAAACTTTATCAGCTTACTTTTCCTGCGCTTTACGGTTTGTAAGAGAACGCAAGGGGCGCGAAAAGAATACGGGAGACTCCTTTTGCTTCTTTGTGCGTTTTCTTCCCCCCCTTTCAAAGTGCCTTTTAGCACAGGCTAAGAAAACTTTCATTCTTGACCAAGCTTTCTTATTCAACAAGTAGAATGAAAAAAAAAAAATTAATGACGAGTACATCGGTAATAATGTTTATCAAAAAATTGCAGCTTAGGAATTTTAAAGCAATCGTTTCTTACAATGTCTTGTCAATGTCTGCTAGAGTGATTACACGAGGACAATAATTTAGTATTTTCTCTTTTTTTCTAACTCCGTCTGCGTTAAAATCACGCCTCCTACTGTCTAAGTACTACAACTATGGACAGCAGGAAGACATAACAGGCTCAATGGCTCTACTGCTGGCCGCTTACTTGACCACTCAAGTCCTGATACTTTCGACTGGGGTAGGAGAAACGATTTTTGGTGGTGCCTTTTAGACGAACATAATCTGCTGGATGCTTTGACAGCCTAGTGACCACTTCCTGGTTTTGTAGCAGTTCTGTTTATCCAGCCTCTCCCTCGAAGCAGCATTCACTAGCTATAGTCTGTTTTTTAAACTGGCAAACACGCTCATCATTAGGGTAACTTAGCGTTTTGCTCGGACAAATGTCACCATTGTTAAAAGACGTTGGCAGCAGGTTTATGAAGCGATCTCAGAATACATTACAACCTGAGAAATCAAGCTTCGAACCGAGCAGTCTTTGTGTCTTTACCTGAACCTACAACGATACTGTGACTGGCTTAATTTTTAAATCCACTTGTAAGTAATGTGATAGTAAAAGTATCCTTTATGTGCAATGAAGTCGTTGCGATGACTCATGTATCTTGCATTATTGAGCTCGCAGTTTGGAGTCTTTTTTCCTTTTGTAGCACTTTGGTCTCTGTCCTGTGATTTGCTTTTGAAATTGATTGACTGACACTTTAAATCCCGTATACAAAACATCGCACAAGTTATTTCGCTTGAAGTCCAAATATTTTTCATCACGTGATTAATCAAAACCCAATCTTTTTTTCCTGTGAAATATTCTTGAAGACTGGTCTTCTCAAGACCTAGAACAAAATATAATTCGTTGATACTTTTATTAGTTTTAAAGGTTGTGTGTGATCGACCAGGCTGCTTTTATTATGAATATTTTAAGAGGGTGGGGTGGAGAAAGGACTTTGAGGGGGGCACAATTATGACCTAAAAAATTATAGTCATAAAAAAGGGTAATAAATTTCTGAAGACAGGGAGGGGTGATATCAAAGTACTATATTGATGTGTACCAGTTATAAGTATTGTATAAAGCCATAGGCTTTTAAAGTAACTATACAAGTCAACTCCCTATTTTGAATTCTAATTAAAAATTATTTTCAGAGCTAAAATTATCACTTAAAACTATGTAACAAGTCTCCTTCAAACAAAGAGGATTTTACATAAGCTGCAGGAAAAGATAAAATAGGAGAAAGATCCTCGCAGTTATGATAATAATAATAAATATTTTTTATTATTATTTAAAAATAATATACTATTTCATATGACAAAGTATTTTTACCAGCAATGACAACAGTACAATTCCTCCCCGTAAAACCAGTGAAACATGTGCAGGTGTAGTCATTTACATTATCCGTACAAGTTGCTCCATTTTGACATGGTCCATTAGCACAATCGTCTATATCTTGAGAAAAAAAAAAAGATGTTAATTAACCGTTTCGTGTTGTTTTGAATAAGGTATATTTTACAAGCCTTCTTACCAACGGTACAATTTTTCCCCGTGTATCCGGCGACACAGCTGCAAGAATAGTCATTTACCCCATCTGTGCAAGTGGCTCCATTTTTGCATGGTCTTTGGATACAATCATCTGTATCTTGAACTAAAAAAACTCGAGATTAATTTTTGTTGTGTTGAAATACATATACGTATATTTTGTTAGTTTCCAGATGACAAAATATTCCTACCTACACTGCAGTTCTTTCCTGTGTATCCGGTGACACAGTAACAATTGTAGTCATTCACAGCATCGGTACAAGTTGCACCATTTTGGCACGGTCCCAATGCACAATCATCTATATCTTAAGTAAGAGATTCTTGACATTAAAGGTTTGTCTTATTTTGATCATATTTTGATTTAATTTTAATTATTGCAGTTGACAAGGAATTATTACCAAGGCTGCAATTCTTTCTCGTGAATCCAGCCACACGGGTGCAATTGTAATCATGCATGCCATCCATACAAGTAGCTCCATTTTGGCATGGTCTTTGGGCACAATCATCAGTATCTTTCACCAAAGATTCTTGAGATTCCAAATTTGTTTTATGATTGAATTACATACAGTTTGAAATTTTTCAGCTGACAAAATATTCTTACTAACGCTGCAATTCTTCCCTGTGTATCCAGCCACACAGGCGCAACTATAGTCATTTACACCATCTGTACATGTGGCTCCATTTTGGCATGGTCCATCTGCACAGTCATCTATATCTTGGATAAAAGATTTCTGGACTTTCATTTTGGTGCTATATATTAAATTGCCTTTTTTCGAATAAGTTCGAAATTTTCAATATTTTCTTACCAATGCTACAATTCTTTCCCTTGAATCCAGCGACACAGGTGCAACTATAGTCATTCACACCATCTGTACATGTGCCTCCATTTTGGCATGGTCCATCTGCACAGTTATCTATATCTTGAATAGATTTTTAGAATTACGTTTTGCTGTTATACATAGAATAGCTTTTTTGCAGATAGGTTCGCAATTTACAAAATTTCCTTACCAAGGCTGCAATTCTTTCCCGTATATCCGACAACACAGGTGCAATTGTAGTCATTTACGCCATCCATACAAGTTGCTCCATTTTGGCAAGGTCTATCAGCACAATCATCTATATCTTAAGTTAAAGATTCTCGAGATTAATGATTGGTCTTATTTTCTTATATTGAATTTCTTTGTTTTAAGGTTGTGTAATTTACAAAGTATTCTTACCAATGCTGCAATTCTTTCCCGTATATCCGACGACACAGGTGCAATTGTAGTCATTTACCCTATCCACACAAGTAGCTCCATTTTGGCAAGGTCCAAGAGCACAGTCATCGATGTCTGGAATAACGGTTCAAGAAATAAAGAATCTTATTTAACAATCGTATTTTTCTTATGAAAACTATGAAAAAGCCATTAAATTCAATTAACACCTTACAGATAAAAAGCTTTCATGCGAAGAAGATAAAGCTGAAGTTCAATCGCAACAAAAGGTAATGTTCAATAGTTCCACACTACTTTATAGGTTCATGGAATTATCAGTAACCACGTCTATTTACCAAGGAGGAGCTTTCCCCAGCAGAGAAATAGATGACTTCTAGTCTAAGAAACATTGAGCAGGAAAATAATTTCAAAGGCGAAACAATTGAACTGATGTTTGACTTTCTCTACAAAACCCAGAGATTCACCGGAAACCATTGTCCCTTGCTTATGTTCAAGGCAGTGATAATTTCGTATCATTGACGTCATTATACTTAGCTTACCTATACAAGGTACCACGCTGCATTCCTCCGTCTCACTTTCCACATGACCTGGTGGACATGTTTGCCCAGTTTTAAGGCTTTTACCGCAGCCTTTACGCCACCTTTGTCCTGCTCCACACGTGACTGAACAGGCTCCCCATTCGCCCCAATTAACTACATGGTGATATCAATGAAGACAAATTGTTATTAAAAATACATGAATTTTGCCCAAATGTTCCTTTTTGTTGCTGTTTTTTCTTTGTTGTGCTCTGGGTTTGTTTGGATGCTATTTAGGTTTAACCAACTTTAAGGTGGCTCGACCCAGTATTTTTTGTAGGTACAGCTTCCATCTTTGAATCTCTTATACTTAACGTAAAAACATTAGATCAGATGTATTACACGTGGACTAAACTTTATTATATTATTTTTTTGGCGATCGGAAATAAATATCACGTGACAAAGACGTCGTAATGGTTTTAGCTCTTAAACGTATACTCTGGGTGCTTGTCTTCTGTTGCCCAAAGTTTCACAACAATCTATAAGAGGAATTTCGAGACATCTTTGAATTTCTACGAAAGGGGTATAAATTATGCATGATCCGAAGGCTGGACTTAATACAGACGAATTTGCTACCTTCTGGATGCTTCCGAAAAGTTTTGATCTCTCATTCGTTTTCGCCGTACTAAATTCCCTTAGTGTTAAGGCACTCTACTGCCTTAGGAACTTATTTATGTAAAACTTTGCAAATCTACAATTTAATTGAACCATGCTTGGTGGTGAAATTTGCACGTGTGACGTAATTATGCATAAGGGCCATTACAGTCCTTGCTCTTTTGCTTCATCAAGCTGCTGTACGTTATTACCAATAATGACCAATAATTATTAGATTCACATCTTTGAAAAATCCTTATGGGGAATGTTCACAAGTGCGGTAAAAATGAAATTTTACCATAACAAAAGATAAACAAAGATAAACAAAGATAAACAAAGCACAAGCACTGAAAACTAAACGGTCACGTTCGTAAACCTAAGCAAGAGCAGCAACATATTAATCAAAATGGTGGACGTGAGAATGCTTTTGTTACAACAACAAAGGATTACAAGGACAAACGCCTAGTTAAGGACGCACCACTGTCATCAATTAAAGGAATCAAGTGAACAAGGCTTGAGCCCTGAACTTAACTGTAGGGAACTTAAGACCTGACCAACTAAGACGGCAAAGAGAACGTCTTAAAAGCAATAGGTTTATATTATTTAGCAAAAAAAAACGTACACTAGTTAGTACATACGGGCTTTAAAATGGTCACGTGATTTACGACCATCACGTGACCATTAGCTATCGAGCATTCGACAAATGAAGACGTTGTGATAACGTTAAACATATTTCTCTTTCAAGAACGATTTTGCTCTGAATTCGTAAATTCTTTTGACTTGACATAACTGGCCGTTCCATTGTAGCCTGAGGGGAAGAAATTTGTCATTTTTGCTCTGGAAACTTCAGGAGTGAGCAATATTGACTTTCAGTATTACATGACATTCACATTAAAGCTAAAGTGTCTAAAGTGGCACGTGAATGGCATCTTTATCAGCAAATTTCAATGGACTCAAAATACAGTTTACTTACTATATTTTATGGTTTTTATATTTAAATGAAAAAACACCACTTGAACAACTCAAAATAAATAAATCCCTCGATAGCAATGAAAATTAGATAGCAAGCGACGATCTTACAGTCTAAAAGAAAAAAAAACTGTAAAACGTATGCCAAATCGGAATGTTTTTTTTTCTAGTTTCATAAGCAATCTTGAAGGTTTTCAATAGCCTTTTGTGCTGGAAACCTAAGGAAAAAAAAATTACTTTTTTTATCACATTCTCGCTATACTGTCAATTTCAATATTAAATCTGGAGTGAATAATAACATAGTGGAAACAACTAGTTTTTTCCGGCACGTTATGATAGTCTACATCTTTCAAAGAAAACAAAGGCTGATGATTGTTGACTTACAGTTCAATATGAATAAATTTTCTTGATAATATTTTCTTTTACCTTTAGTTTATGAAATTAAAGAGCGTTAGCATGATTGCGACAGCAGCGAAAACGTCAGTTAAAAAGTGAATTCGCGCCGCTCAAAACTTCTTCCCTCCTATTCCATCTCGTTCAATTTGTCAAATGTTGGCGAATTTTTCGGGAGTTGAATTCTATAAGACTCAGTATCCAAGTTCAGAAAAGAAAATTTAAATCACTGTCTCGCGCTTGTCCACGTCGTAATCATAACAACGTGAGATTAGGAAGTTTCACGATGTACTGGCGCAATGACGGTAACGAAATGTACAAAAAAAAGAAGGGGTGAACTTGCAGAATTTGTTCTTTTGCTTACTAAACCCGGCTAACAGACCTCTTAATAGCTTGTATGTTTTGTTTCCAACACAGGTCATGTGATAATACTTTAGAGAACTTCTCCTTTCAAATTTCATCGTATTCANTACAGTTCAATATGAATAAATTTTCTTGATAATATTTTCTTTTACCTTTAGTTTATGAAATTAAAGAGCGTTAGCATGATTGCGACAGCAGCGAAAACGTCAGTTAAAAAGTGAATTCGCGCCGCTCAAAACTTCTTCCCTCCTATTCCATCTCGTTCAATTTGTCAAATGTTGGCAAATTTTTCGGGAGTTGAATTCTATAAGACTCAGTATCCAAGTTCAGAAAAAGAAAATTTAAATCACTGTCTCGCGCTTGTCCACGTCGTAATCATAACAACGTGAGATTAGGAAGTTTCACGATGTACTGGCGCAATGACGGTAATGAAATGTACAAAAAAAAGGAGGGGTGAACTTGCAGAATTTGTTCTTTTGCTTACTAAACCCGGCTAACAGACCTCTTAATAGCTTGTATGTTTTGTTTCCAACACAGGTCATGTGATAATACTTTAGAGAACTTCTCCTTTCAAATTTCATCGTATTCATGTGCATACTACGCATAATTTATGAAAAGACAAAGTTCCCCTGGGTTCTCTATAGGCAAAAAAAAAACATACAAGCTAAAGACGTCTAGCGTTTCTTTGCCGTTGTCGTTCTCGTTGATGTTGCCGCAGTCGTTGCTAAAGCTCCCAATACTCGCGGCAGTTATTAGACATACCACTGAGTCTGAACAACTAACAAGTGAGAGTGAACAACTAAATTCAAAAGGTCATAAAAAATTACTTTCATTTTTTTTTTTTGCAAGACTTTGTCTTCTTTTCTTCACTTACAGATATGCCGATAAATTTACTTCAACGGTTGAAAGGCGCTTTGAACTATTCACAAATCTTGCACAAGAAGCTTAAATTTATTCAAAGTTACCGACTTAAGGACTGGAAAGGCCATCACCTTCCTACTGTAATCATGATAATAACAAAGCGCTCAAATTAATTTTCAAAGACTGGTATTTCCAGTCAAATTATACTTCTCCAGAAACTTTGAAGAAAAAAAATATATAAATCGTTAAGCCCCACTGTGACTTTTAAAAAAGTGCTATTTTACCATACTTTCTAAGTTTTTTTTCTAAAGTTAGTAAAAAGCATGTGAAACGTCTCGGCTACTTTACCTTGTCCATTACGGTCTGTCGAAGATACGAGAACTAAGCACATGATAACTAACTCCTGGATTCGCCAAGCCAAAAGAAAAAGCGCGCTCCTAGATTCGGCCATATTTAATTTCGAAAACTCATTTCAATGAATTATATTTGAATTCTTCTCTCAAGCATCCGCGCCGTGCAATAGCGCATGGTGTTCCCTTGGCCGCAAAAAGCATCAAGCAAATATTGGCAAAAGTTCCTTTCATGGGTTAAAATGATATTATTAGTGGAATCTTTTGTTCTTAATATTCTATGACGGCAAAGGCGATTGTATATCTGATTTATGATAAAAAGCTGGACGGCGCACTTAAAGCCATTCAATACTTTGAAGTCTTAGTGACGCGAAAGCTACAACCTTTTTAAGTCCGTAAATAAAGAAAAGATATAAGTAGGGTTCGTCGACAATTAAAAGTAGACCAATAAGAATGTTGATCAGTTAAATGTTCTTAATAGAGAATATGAATAGAAATTCGCTCAGCTTTTTATGATTGGCATGCACATATAGCTCAAGAATGATAAATTATTTTTAATGCATGATGAGATTAGACGTGGGTTTTCTTAGTAAGTTCATGTTTTTAAGTCGGACTAGTTACAATCGAAGGTGAAATAAAACCACTAAATGTTTTAAATGATAATCCAGATAGATTACACGATGTTAATAATTTAAAAACAACCTCTTGTCAAGAATTAGGCAATGAATCTATGTACGTAGATTTCTAAAGCTAATACCGCGTGGAATTAACAAAATGAAAAGAAGCTAAGTAGGGACTGGATCAATAATTAAAACATACATGGAGTCAGGCTTGCAATCTTGAGAAAATCAGTTAAAAATATGGCTCGTGCCTATAAAGTGACCATTTTTGTCAGAGACTGGTTTCTGAATCTGATTGAAATTAAAAGCCTTTGCACTATATTCCGTTGTTCAATATTGAAATACCAGAGACGTTTAGATTCGAGGAGGAGAAGGACTACGAGGACAAGATTAGAAGAT